TGACACCTCTGAATTGTGGTGTTGACAAAGAATGCTGAATACACTGTGAACTGTCAAAAGAATGAACAAATCTGTCTTAGAAGAAGTACAACCAGAATGTTCCTTAGAAGCAAGGATGGTGAGACTACGTCTCACATACTTTGGACATGTTATCAGGAGGGATCAGTCCCTGGAGAAGGATATCATGCTTGGTAAAGTAAAGGGTCAGCGAAAAACAGGAAGAATATCAAGAAGATGGATTGACACGGTGGCTGCAACAATGGGCTCAAGCATAACAACGATTTTGAGGATGGCGCAGGACTGGGCAGTGTTTTGTTCTGTTGTACACAGGGTCGCTATGGGTCGGAACCAACCTGACGGCACCTAAGAACAACAGCCTCCAGAACTGTGAGGCAATAAATTTCTGTTCTTATCCCAGTTGCCGTTAAGTTGATTCCCACTTGTAGTGACCCCCATGTGTTTCAGAGTAGACCTGTGCTCCATAGGGTTTTCAATGGCTGTGACCTTTTGGAAGCAGATCACTAGGTCTTTCTTCTGAAGCATCTCTTGATGGACTTGAACTGCCAATCTTCTGGTTAGTAACCAACTGCTTAACCATTTGAGCCACTTAAAGACTCCCTTCTGTTCTTATAAGCCACCGATTTGTAGTACTTTGTTATGGCATCCCTGGGAAATTAATACAGTGGGAAAAAATTCAAGAAATCACTGAAGTATGAGTTCCTTCTTCATTCTCACATTTTAACTTCTAAAAATGCTTTATCCTAAGTCCATAGTGTCACCTTACTGGTGGGACTGCCTCACCCTTAAAAAGGACAATGTAATTTTTTTTTTGTTGTTTTGATAACTAAAATGCCATATGACTAAATCCAAGGAAAAGGTTTTATTACAAGTTCATATATTAAGTGGGATTAATGTTTCTCAAGAATGTGCTGTAATAATTTTAGAATGCAAATATGTCTTGTTACACATCCTATGTGTTATTTACTTAAAACAATGTAAAGTGAGTGTGGCAGTCTGTTACATAGGAGGCCACCAATGAACTACATCTGCTGATTAACACCCTTGCTTATTTCCACCTCCCTTTGAATCTGGGCTGGGCCTGTCACTGGCTTTAACCAACAGAATACAGTAGAAGTGATACTGTGCTAATTCCAGGCCTAAGGCTTGGCCTGGCAAATTCTGCTTTTGCACTCTTGGGAGCCCCAAGCCACCATGTAATAAGTCTGGCTCTGCTGTTCTGGAGGCTATGTGGAGAGAGACAGGCACAGTGACAACACGGAGAGTGAAGCTCAGCCATGCTAGTTGAGCCCTCAGCTCACTGGCCAGGTTAATGAAGCAACATCATTAACCACCAGCACAACCAGCAGAAGAGATGCTTAGCTAGGCAAAACCCAGACTGCGGAATCATGAGCAAATAAAATGGATATAGTGAGCCATTATGTTTTGGGGTGGTTTATTATGCTGCAACAGTTAAAAAGTATTTGGCTAAAAATGACAATATAGTATTCTACAGCACTTTGCTTCACCCAACAAATTTACTATTTGTTGTTTATTTATTAAAAACTCATCATGAACACAAACTCTGCTAAACAAATGCAATCTAACACTTCTAACAAAATATCAAAAAGTGTACAATCTCTAAATTTATTCATCCAACTAAGATTTTAGTTAGAGTCTTACTATTTAAATATGTTTCCCACTATAAATTTATTGAATAAAGCAAGCTCTTTTTTCCCTTTAGGAGTAACATTTTCACTGACACACACATTAAATATACACAATAATAACTATGTTTCTAAATAAAAAGTACTTTTACTGGAAAATAAGGATTTTTCCCTTACCTGAATATAACACGTAAGGACTCCTGTTGCATAAATGGGGACTGTAGCTTTAGTGAGGACCCCATTTCCTGCTGAGGAATCTAAAATCATTAAAATAATTTTAAAAATGTGAGTATGTCATTTTGAACGTAAAGAAAAAAGTCACAATGAAATTATATTTAAAATTACAACTGTTTACTAGGTTTACAAATAAATATTACTATTACTTTGGAAAATAATGTACTTAAAACACATTTCTACTGGTTGTAAAAACACAGCTTAATACTTCTTGCATAATTAGTATAACCATTTCTAGTAGATGGAAAAGAACTTTAATAACGAAAATGAGATGTTATACTCTTATTTCCATAACAAGAAATCAAGGGTTTAAGAGTCTTCCAAGTGCCCATATAGGCAGGGATATCTAAAATTTTATGCTTTCTGTTTCAGTGTTTAGTAAAACGTGAAGGCACTCAGCTCAAAAACAGACATCTAGATATTATTTCTGTTTCCAGATATAAGATTCTACCTAGTTTCTAGTACTAGCTCCAGAGTCCCTCCTGCATTCTCTTCATGGTTTTCTGGCCAGCCAGAGCCCTGATTCCTTTCATGGAGGAAAGAGTCAGGCTATGTAAAGCAAGGAGAGAAGGGAAAATCATCCAATCACAGGTGAGTGCCCTGTGACTATTTATAATAAGAGATTTTCTTGTGTAGTACCTATAGACGTACCTATAGACTATTTCAAAAGAAAAGTTCCAGAGATAATGCATTTCAAACATTAATCCTTTAAAATCTTATTTTAAAAGGCCTTGAGGAAGCATTTGACCAAAACAAACCTCATCAATGTTTTCAAACTTAAAGAGGATTTATTTATTCATTCACTACCTCTGCAGACAGCCAAAATGGTGCAGCTTTTTAATCCAGTCAAACCAAATCACTAAGGTAAGAATTATCTACACATTTAAAAATCAATGAAGCTATAAAAAAAGGGGATGTAGGGATCTAAATTTCCTTTCATATTTTCCTAGAAACTGGAAAAATACACCAGGACACAAGATTCACACACAAACAAGTTCTTATGTCAATGGTGTTGTCACTATACTTCTTAAGACAGGTGAGTGAAAACCATCACAGAGGGGCTGGCGCTGCCCATTCAAGCCTGTAATTTCTTTGAAATCTCATGCTTCATTTAAAACAACGTTTATGTATATCTTGCATTCTTTTCCACAATGTTATTTGATTTTTTAAAAGTTTTAAATAACTACTTATAAATAAGATGCATGTTTATTTTGTAATTTCCAGTATCTTGAATATACTACTTCAAACCTCTAAGGGTACAAGTATCCAGTTTGGGAAGCTCAACTTTAGGTCAACTTAGTTACAACGAAAGTGGTGATAGTGTTTTTTATTGTTAGGTGCCGTCGAGTCGATTTTTGACTCATAGCGACCTCATGTGACACAGCAGAACTGCCCCATAGGGTTTTCTTGGCTGTAATCTTTACGGAAGCCGATGGCCAGGTCTTTCTCCTGCGCAGCCGCTGGGTGGGTTTGAACAGCCAACCAAGGTAGACATTTAATCAAGTTGAAGGATTAACTCAGTACCACCTCATGGTACACCTCAAGTGACACAGTTGTAAAACCAAGAACGCCATAATATATGTTTCCCTTTTCAATTGTACTTGCTAGTTCATTTATACAATTTACATATACCAAATACAGCATTTTTCCTAAGAGATTCAATTGTTTTTAAAAGTAATAATGAACAACTTACCAATGTTTTCTTCAGACAGTCTTAAAATCTCCTGGAACTGAGGTTTTACCTAAGTAATCCAAAGAAAAGATCCAAAAAAGTCTCAGATGCAAAGGACTAATTGATGATTAAATAAATAAAATGTTATTACTTACTACTCTATTTATTTTGTTTTACAGAGCACTGATTTAGGTGGCCAGAAATATAATCATTCTTAATTCAGAGGCTTAGGATAAATGAAGAGTTAAGTTACTAAAAATAACACTTTAAAAAATAAAATTGTAAGAAATTAAAAAAAAACCAATTGAAGTCAACAAGAATTTAGTTTCCTTCACTAAATTAAAATAATGTCCAAGATGATTGTAAATGCTTAAAGTATTGCCTCCTAAAAGTGAACTCAGTGATAGAAAGTGCTATTTAGGAAGCTATTACATGATGGGAATTACTGAGTAAAAAAAAATTTGATGAATTTAAAAGGAAATTCCATTCATTAGGGTATTCTATAAATAACATGGAGCCCTGGTGGCAGAGTGGTTAAAGAGCTTCGCTGCTAACCAAAAGGTTGGCTGTTTGAATCCACCAGCAGCTCCTTGGAAACCCTATGGGGCAGTTTTAGTCTGTCCTATAGGGTAGCTGTGAGTCAAAATTGACTCCATGGCAACAGGTTTGGTTTTTTTTTCCTTCCTTTTTTTTATAAGTAACATATTCATTATGTGATGTCCATGGCTAGATTTCATCTTTTATAATAACTTTCCTTAAAATTTAAATTTAAACATCAAAGACAGACTTTAAATGCAATATTTTGAGTTAGAACAAGTGCTTGTTTCAATTTTTTTATCACTGAAGTTACCACAGATTTCAGGCTACTGTGCCAACCACTTACTATTAAGTGCTTAAGTGGGCTCTGATTTGCTTTTCTAAAAAAAATGACAGCTACTTCTTTTGGAGATGCCAAAAAATTCTTGCCAATCTTCATAACAGTAAAATTAAATTATATTTGTTTAACAATTAGATGCTCGTGAAAATGTAAAATGATCGTTTCTTCTACAGTACCATCAAGCACTGTTATTTGTCCTCCTGTAGGTATGTCAGGAATATTATACTTAAAATTCACATATTCAACTTATACTGAGGGATAGACCATTGTAAAAGATGAATCTACAAAATCAAACTCATAGAACTAAATGATACTGAGGCCATGTCTCCATTTCATCTGTGAGAAGATTAAGCCCAGATTAATTAACTCATTTTTTAAAGGTCATAAACATTAGTCAGCAGATAACAGCTCACAACTCAAGTCTTAGGAATTTTGCCCAGTCAACTATACTATACTGTATTGCTTTAAATGTTTCAATAACTACAGATTTAATAATAAAGAGATGCATTTCCTTTTAAATTTCTTGATTAACATTTGGTTATAGCAACTACATTTTTTTAATGTTTTTCCTAGGTCTCTAAAGAACTAGTTTAACAATACGCTGAGACAAATGGATTAACAGGATTAAAGAAGAGATTGGGATCTAAGGACATTCTAATTTCAATATCTAAAACTACAAAATAACCTGTATAGGCAAATGTGACAAATGATACTTTTGGTAGTGACAGAAATAATGCAGTATTTATCTCAAAAGTCCATGTATTTCTAAGAGGCAGTATCCTTACAGCAAGTCTTATATATAAACTGCTGTGGTTCCATAATCGCCTGAGGTTTTGACCAAAGTATCCTGAGGAAACAGTTGTTTCCTGAGCCTGTGGTGGAGGGTAAAGGACCAGTAGCACATCCAAAGGACTGTGGCTGGGTTCCCGAGCGGATACCACCGATGCTGAAAATCTCTGAGATACGTACTGTGAGTAGACCTTATTTCCAAGTCTGCATACAAACTAAGTTTAGGCTAAGTTGTCTTATAATGATCAATAAAGATAAGAATACAACCAACTGGAATTTTCTTTTACTATCATAGTATTCTATGATAGTAAAAGATAATTAAAGGAAGGTCTTATATTTTTATTTACTCTGTTATAGCATTAACACATTACATTTTTATGTCTCCTGTATATAAGAAAACATGGAATACAAGTTTTTACCTTAGTGTTTGTAAAAATTTTGCCAAACGTCCGGCAAAGGCGCCAGAAAAATCTGGAGAATTCATGGACACAGGCAGTTGAAGTAACATTAATTTTGCCAACTATTTCTATAAGTTGTGGCAACCTGAATATGAAAGGAGAGAAAAAGAGGCAGGGGGTACATATAAATTATTGTTTCCTTGCTAATTTTGGAAACAATGCAATCCAACAACCTCTTCTGTTTTGCTCTTTATAGCCAGTAAAATTTGAAATCAAAGAAGTTGTTTTGAACTCTTTGAAAAGAACTTAGGATTACAGTCTACTCTATAAACTTCTTAAAATGAATTCTGTTTGCTATAAAATATCTAGAATCTTAATGCTACACTTCTGAGTATGGCATTAATGAGACTGAAATCTATGCATTTGACTCCAGTTAAGTTTCACACAGAAGAAAACCAACGTGCCATCCATTTTAGCCTCAAAAATAGAAGTCTGGATGTGTGCTAGTTCAAATCCGTCACTACTATTGGACAAATAAGGTAGCAGCAGATAAGTCCTACTGATAATACATCAGCACCATCTTCATAAATAAATAATGACATATCCAGTAGTGTGAATCTCCTCTCCTAAAGAAGCTTACTATAGATGATGCCATGTTACATTGTTAAGTTTGTTATATTTTATACCTCAGTGCTATAGCTAAATACAGTGAGCTACTGTTTGATCAACTGATTTAGATGCACCAAATGAATATGGAGGTGGGTGACTTACAATTGATTGACAACCCATAGTAAACTCTCCCAGCCTGTTGTACCCTCGTGTTCCAACTGGTAATCATAAAGTTGTAGTAGCACTGCCAATTGCTCACGACTTCCAATAATAGTAGATACATCTTGAAGAAGCGACATAGGCCGGGGGAACCTAGTCACTGTAAATAACAGAAG